AAACACTTGTTGTTCTCAATATTTTAATTCATGACATGGGCCTTTAAGAATTGACTGCAAAACTTCTCAGGAAAATGTGAAAATAAGAGTACAGTAACTGTCCAATAAAGACTGCAGTATCCCCTAGCTGATCAGTGCTTCCGTAGCTAGGATTCCCCCTAGAATGCAGAACTATGGCCAAATAAAGAGGAAATACTGACAGAACCATCTCTGTCAAAATGAAATTTCACTGAAGCCAAAACATTTGTTTCATAGCACATACAGATTGCTGGGCAAAAATGGAAGAAAGACACTGTACAAGATGAAACACAGCCTTGACTGGGTGAAAGTGAAGTTCAAGTTGATTATTTAGAATTACATTTCATCCTGATTTAGAATTACATTGATGAAATACTCTGCTGTATTTCAGCCAGAGTATCCTATTCCAGATCTTTAAAGTCAGGACTGAAATCTGCCTCTCACATCTACAGCCATTTGGCACCCTTAGCTATTTTCAGCCAGCCACCATTTTCATACCAAGAATGTTCAGAAGCTCCTTTCCAGTGGAGTGCCAATAGAAAACTGTTAAGCTCCAGAAGATGCTGCACAACAGAACTCCATTTTCTTAGTATGATCACATCCTAGTATAACCAGTTAACAACCTAAAAGTGAAATAAAGGCGATAAATGACTTTGGGTGTCATTTACTTAGAGCACAAGGGGTTCAGACTAAGCTATGGCCTTTGCTTTATCCACCTACAGCACATAAAAGTTGCAGTAAAAAAAAAAAATTGCAAGGCATGTATTCACAGTTTTAGGTATGTATTCCAGGATATAATGTAGATTAGTCATTGAAGATAGTCAAGAGCAACGATCCATTATAACTATTCACATCTAATTAAATGTTAGTCCCATATACAGCCTTCAAAGACTCGAGAGAATTTGCCTACTAAAATCTTCAACTGCAGCACTGCAGTGAGTAGAGCTAATTTATCCACAGCTTGGGCAAGATAGTGCTGCTCAGTTTTCTACCACTCAGAGACAAAAGGCAGCAAGGGAAGAGATGGTTGCATTGATTTTTCTTCACATTAACTTTTGGACTTTTCTGAGCTGCATTAAACTCTTTTTCCAACTCCTCAAGTACTCCATAATCAAATGAGAGCAAGAACCTTTCATCTCTAAACACACACATACAGAAGCAATACTTTTACACTGGTTGTCAAAGTAACTAAAAGTCACGCATCAATTCTGCATCCCAGGCTATGTACCTGTTTTGAAAACCTCAAAAACAAAAGCATTTTCCTTGAACTGTGGTGTATTTACAAACCATTATACAAGCAAACATACTCAGAACATGCAGTGATTACATATTTTTTAAAAAAGGCATTGAACTTCACTGACTCAGTATCAGCTGCACACAAATTGTCCTTGAGGACTTTGATTGTTTTGCAAAGTCTCTCTGCAACTGTGAAGAACACCACATATTCTACTTTCTACCATTAAATGAATGGATGTATTGCATAACGAATGTAAAAATACTGAAAAATTGGCTAAGCTTGAGGGGTGACTCTCAAACAAGAGTAGAAAATTGAGCAATCTGGAAAATCCATACCAACAATTTATTTAAACTGAGTAATATAAAAGGCATCTGACATAAAGATACATACAATGATAGAAATACCTTATGCATATAGAAAAAGCAAAACACAAAAGAATGCATTACAGTGGATTCACAGCTTATTTACTCTTCAAAATAAGAAGCATACCAAAACTTAAAATCATAAATTCTGCCTGAGGGGAAAAAAAATCAAATTTTCAAAGAAAATCCATCCTTACAATCAGAGAAAGATTTAGACCTAAAAGCTATTTTTTTGGGGAGTTTCATTAGAAAAGATCACGTGGCAGATTCATGTTTATTCATGAAAAGGCTTTGGGAATGAAGAGTATATCATCTTTCTACTTGCACATCTTTTTAAAAGTGTATTGGCAGCTACTACTGGATCACACGTGAATTTCAGGAAATAAAATTTCACCACTAATATACTTATTTGTTCCAGAGCATAACTGTAAGATTTGAAATACACCCAACTGTCTTGTAAAGATGTTAAGCTCACTGGAGAGTTGAAACGGGATATATAGCAGGATGCTTATAATACATGCATGTAAACCTCTAAAAGAGTTTCAGTCATTTGGTTAAAAGTTGTGCATTAGAGCAGAATGAACTACAGTTAGACCCCAGTGCTGGAATAAAAGGGAAAAAAGTAGTAGAAAAAAACATTTGGATAAATTAGATGCATCCAAGTTGACAGGACCTGATTCAATTCACCCCCAGGGTACTCAGTACACTCTAGCCAATTAAATCTGTGAATCTGTAATGACTACCTTTTAGAGCCTAACATGTAAAGAGAAGTTCTAAAGGTCTGACGAAGGGCAGACTTTATGAATATTTCCAAAATGAGGAAGAGGTCCTGGAAGGTAGATCAGCCAGTCTACCTTCAGTGTTCAAAAAGATACTAGAACAAATCACTTAAGAGTCAATTTAAGAGTACCTACAGGATAATAAAGGTGATAAAAAGCAGCCAACATGGATCTGTCAAGAACAAATGGCATCAAAATGATCCAATTGCCTTCTGTGACAGGATAATAGGCCTAGCAGATAAGGAGAAGGCATTAGAGACAATCTGTCTTGACTTCAGTAATGCACTTGGTGCTGTCCCTTAGGACACTCATGAGTAAACTAGGAAAGCTGGTTTCAGTGAAGACAACAGAAGACGGGGCGCAAAACTTTATAAGTACAGTAACCAACCGTTTGCTGCCAATTGAAAATGAACTAGAGGAATCTATTCTAAATCCAGTCCTATACATACTTTCAATAATAACCAGAATGATACAGTGGAGAACACACTTAATGTTAACTCATACAAAGATTACAAATCACTGAGTCCAAACAGACTAAAAAAAAAAAAGGTGCTAGAAAGAAGCCAAAATGGTTAGGAAGATGTCCAAAACATTATGCTGCAGCAAAACAACAGTGTAGAATAATTGCTAAATGTTGACTTGACTTTAGGCCCTCAAGCAAAATCTCAGTAAAACTTTTGCTTTTCCTTACTTATTCACATGATATCATCCTTTATCATTCAACATTTATCAAATGGTCCTACAATCCTGAAGTAGCAGCCACAGAAAGTGAACTCAGAGGAAGCTAGTATTATTTTAGAACCTATCATATACCCTTCCTTCCACTTTGAGATCTCTTCCAACATCCTAGGTTAAAGTGTTTTTCCAAAGCATACTTCACTATTCGATTTTATTTTAAATTTTTGCAGTAGTGGCTGTGAAAATATAAATAATATATAAAAATGTTAGAAAATGGAATTAAATGATAATATATGCAAATTACTGATGATACAATCAGCGTTAAAACAATCTGACTTTCCTTCACATCACAGAGGATCTTCGTGGTTTGTAAGGTACCTTTTTGAAGCACTGAGTACTCACAGATTTTACCAGAAGGGACTTTTGATTTTTACTGATGATAAAGTGATGCTGTTACTTTTGTTACTTGGAAGACATAAGTGCATTTCTCAAAATAAAAGAAGGTATATTATGCCAACACACTATAGAGCTTGAGTGAGTTGCTTCAGTTCTCACCACTTAAAAGACAAAATGATAATTCTTCCTCCATTTGCCTCTCCGTGCAATCATTTCAAGCTGTATAGAAGTGCTAAATGTGTTATTAGCATAACCCAACTGAGTAAGATACAGAAAAAAATTCAGCTGCATATATCCTATAATATTGTTTTGTTATGTCTTGCAGTAAAAGAAACACACTGGCTAGTTTAAATTGAGATAAAACAGCAAGCAGGAGAAACTAACCATATTCTAAAAAAAAGAAATCAGAAAGAGACCACATAGAGATATCAACACAAAACTGACAGCTTGTCAGGACAGAGGAAAAAATACACATGACCCAGTCAGCAAGACAACCAGACCTCCAAGCCAAAGACAGCTCAGCTGGAAACAGATCAAAATCCTTAACAAATGTTCAGAGTGATCCTAGTCATTCAAAATCCATGAATTCTCAATCTTTAGCAGGTTGCAGCAAGTAAGAATTTTATTAAAAGTCTGGAATTTGCAGAACTGCAGAGATTCCTCTGAAACTGCAGTAGGATCAGACAATGGGTCTACAGAGACCTAAGCAAAAACCCATATTCCATAGCTTAAGGGTAAAAAAAAAAAAAAACAACAAAAACACCACATTTCTGCAGGCTGACATCATTCTTTATAATGTCCAGCAGATCATTTAACTTGGTCCAGTCTTTACTGTTCACTGTCAATAGTTGAATAAAAAAAAGAGGGTGAGAGAAAGGCAAATTAAATGGCAAACATATTTGAATGCAATTTTGAAGTCTCGTTGCATTAAAAAAGGATGCTAGAACACTGCTTCCAGAACATACTGGAGTGTGGATGGTGACCTCTGCTACTGTACACCAAATAAGCAATTCCCATGTTTTAGAGGCTCTTTTTTCCATAACGGCGCTATCTAGGTCCAAAGGCATGCTGATATATTCTGCTACAGCCTCAAGTACAGCAAGAACATATACTGCTGATCAGTATTTGCTTACCCAGCTGTGAGACTAGAGATGGTCAATCAGAAGAGGATATGGATTTAGCTCAATGTAATCACCAAACTGTTTTGTTTCTTTTTTAATCCATTAGTTATAATTCCTGTTTTAGTACTGTCCAACATGTTCTCTTTCTTCACAATCAGTAAAATTTTAGTTCTTGTTATTTCTTCACTCCAGTGAAGCTAAATTTAAGGTATTTGGTAATAATGCATATTCAAAATTTCTGTAGAGACTTTGTAGGTTTTTTACTGTTTGAATTGTCAATTTGACAACTTGTACAGGAAAAAAAAAATCAGTAAGGTAAGGACAAACATAGGTGACAGCAGTAAAGATATTAAAAAACAAAACCAAACCAAAAATACAGCTGAAAAGGGGCCTCTAGGTAACCCAAGAATGGATCAAACACCTGAGAGTTTATTTAGATTTAGGTTCACTCCAAGCTAGGGCTCCGATGGGGAGCAAACAAAGATGAAGAACATTTAAACATAGATTTAGGTTTTGAACATCTGCAGAAAGGAGTTTTGCATTGCTGCTTTCTGTTCCTCTGAAGAGAAACTTTGTCCTTTTCACCCATTCGTCGCATTGAGAGGTATTGAGCAGTACAATAACTGGAGCAATCTTTAGCAGTTTCAGCATGTGAGAAGAAACAACTTTATCCTTTGTGCTCAAATGGAAGATCACCTTCCCAGATAAGAAAATCTGTGTAAGAAATTGAGGTTAATACAAACCACAGGTATAAATTACCACCTTTCTGTACCCATAGCATAAGCTATACATTCAAATCCCAATATATTCTATCTGTAGCATCCCCCACATTGAACAAAAGCTCAGCATTCTTCTTGCTACCTGACTGCTCCCTGCAAGTATGTTCATTATCACTTCTGTTAACCTGTCCTGTTTTATTTAGCACAGAGTTGCCATGGTTTTAACTCTTCAGATCACACATTTCTAACTAGTTTCTGGGCTAAACAACAAAACAGATTTCAGAAAGCAAAGTCTCCACTGACCAAAATCACGATGCTTTCTTTCACCAAAAAACGTGGTCTTTTTTTTCCTCAGGTCTGACTAAAAGGAGTTTGAGGGGTCACCTCGTTCCTGTATGGTGTCATTGGATAAGTCACTGCAGCAAGGAAAGAACTCCTGATTCATGCTAGTTCTCTTCAGGAGTCAGAAGAAAACAAAATGGGGCAAAACTTTTTCTCCCCTTTTCAGCTGCAACACATAAATATGCTAAATTCTACGCAGTTTTACAAGGCTGTTCTTGCTATCTGTTGGAAATCCATTTTGGAAAAAGAAGAGCCTAACTGGAATGAATTTCCACCCAAATCAGAAAAACGAAAGTAACTGATTTCTGTGCTTATAACAGGAATTAATAGTTAATTAGTGCTGAGAAGCACTCAGGATGAACAAAGCAATATCTGTTAACAACAAAAGCAATATTCCTGCCCTCAGTAGAAAGCAGAATTTATAGCTTAATTGGTGCAAGAAATTTCATTAATTGACCATATTTACAACCACAGAAACCGTACTTCTTGCCTTCAAAAAACTTTGCAAACATTGCTAGTCTCCACAACTAGAGATAAAAATTAGGGATCCACTGCACAAAAAGGTACACTGAAGGCAGCAGTAGTTTTGAAAAGAGAAAGACAGAAAATGTATCATCTATGAAGAAAATTTTACTTTCATTCTCCTACGAGATTCAATTTTAGGACATTTTCAAGTAATATCAAAGATACACCTTGAAACAAAAAAAAATGGAGTTTGGACTACATCTCTTTACAGAAACCATGAATGCATTTAAACTGATATGTCAGAAAAGCATCTGTACCATCACTTGTGCAAAACTGACACACGCAGAATTTAGGATTTTATTTTCCATTCCTGCAAACTTAACTGAAATCTGTATTATCCTCTTCATAAGGGTATTTAAGGCTCCTGAGTGGAAAAAAAAAAAACAAACACCCATGTTGAGGAAAAACTCTTCTTTCAACCTCTTTGGCCTCACCAGGTTTACACAGCACATTGCTTTGTGCTGTTCAGTTACTCAGACCTGCTCTCTGCTTGTCAGCACTGGAGTACCAGCAGACAACTGCAGAATTCAGGCTGCAGTCAGGAAAACACTGTGAAAGCCTGACTGCCTTTGTTCTGTTCTCCTTCTGATATGCAGGGCTTTCCCCTCTCTCTACCTTTTCAAGCATCACCTTTTGAACAAGTATTTCTTCACCCCAGGGTGATAAGGTTAGGTCCTGCTTTTGTGTGATAGGCAATTCACTTTCCACCTGTTCCTTACATGAAGAAGGGAGAAGGAACAGCTAACAACAGTGGAGAAATGGAGAGGGATTTTTAAATACTTTTTAAACTGAACATAATTGTTTCATTTTCTGATCCACAGGAAGCATGTATTCTCACCTGGAGCATTTCCCATTACATAGTACAACTCAAATCCCTGTATAACTGAAAGTGTGAGGAAAAAACAAGTCCTGGTTGAACAATTTACAGGGGCTAAGGACATTGGAAATCAGGGTAAGGTCAACCACGTATTTCAAGAGTCTCTTAAAGCAAGACATTTCTGTAATATAAATGGGATGGGAAACAAAGCTCTTTACTGTCACTACTCTTTAATCTTAATTATTTTAATTAATATTTTTTGGGTTGCAAATGCAAGGGGTTATATGCTCAGCAAGTTCAGTGTAATCAAGTTTCCTTCAATATTAGCTGATTAATCTCTGCTTTCTCTTCTCAATGATTTCATTTGTTCTAAGTTGGAGTTCAGCTCAAAACAACACACTGTGAGAATAACCTGCTGAAAAAGCTAATCCTTGTGGGTAATTAGCTTGTGATGACTTGTAAAGGGAAAAAAGCAGCAGCAAGAGAAAAAACAAGTATGATTTTTCTCCACAATATGTCTTTAGGAAATACTGCAGTAATGCCAGAAGCCATCAGCTCGTTTATTAAATTGCAAGTGCTGTCTTGTTAATTAGCAAGCCATAACGTGGCTACATTTAAATTTTTTAATCTTACTTATTGTTCTGCCCCCTATATTTATTCTCCATACCTTCCTGAAACAAACACATACAAGTGTATGCATCTGCATGTCTTTAACTCAATCCCAGAGGAACTGTAGAGTAAGGGAGGAAAAAGCATAGGAAATAATAGGTAACATGATATTTTCCCATTGCTATCATCTCATCCCTATTAATTTTCCAGGTACTGCACAAATCTGTCTGCCTCAGGTAGCAAGGTTCCCTGTGGAAGGGAAAAGAGTTTCAGAAACCGTAGTTTCAAGCACATCATCAGGATAGAGGAAAGAATGAGTCAGATTTCACGCTGAGAAAGGCACACAGATGATTCTTTTTCCTTCCTTCAGTCCTCTGGGACACTTTGTGTAACCCAGGGTACATGGTTGCCATGCCCAAAGTACTTACAAAGATACTGGACTGTTTAGCACAAAAACACTCCTCAAACCAAAAAAGAACTTCCAGGAAAATGGAGTAATGGCAAATAAGGAAAACAGATTCTTCATCCATTTGATAGATGTGCACAATGGGGGAAAAAAAAGAGAGAAAGAGATTAGTGAGATCAGAACAGCAGAAAACTAACTATGGAGAATGGTAAAATAAGCTTGTTTGAAAGAAAATCTCTCCTCATTCTCCTCCCACCTTTCTAGTTCACAATGAAGGTCCTTTGAGCAAAAAGTGAAATAGAATCCAAAGACACCAATATAAAAAAAACTGATATAAAGGCCAGGGCCAGAATGACAGCTTGAAAAGGATCAGAGGATAAAGGAAAAGTAATGGCGAGGCATCAGTGGAACAGCAAAATAAAGGAAGATCAGATAGGATGTGTATGGTTTGTAATTAGAACTGGATTTTTCCTGGAAGTGTTGCTGCTAAAAGTAAGGAAAATATTTAGTACTGCTTCTAATGTTATTAATATTCTCTGAAATAGCTTAAGACAAACCTCCAGCATTCTCACATTCAGGGAGAATACAGTAGTTTTTGGCTGATTTTAACACTCATTTGATGAGCTGCATCTCAGAGCATATGCATAGGCTGTCTTTTGGTGCTGTGATTCTCATTGCATAATATGCTTTACAATTAAGCGACATAACCACATATTTTAATAAAATCCTTACAGATAAAACAGGTGACCAATGTCCATTGAAATAAACAGAACAGTTCTTATCATTTAATTATCAAAGCAGAATGTTTAAATACAGATGTAAGCCATCATTATTGCATTTTTCAGATTATTGTTTTCTTTTTAAATAGTTCCAGAGATGTAAGTATTTTCTGTAGTGAAATACATACAACTAATGAAAATAAGAGATGTGAAAAACAAGCGTACTTCTCCCCTCCAATACAGAATGATATTTATAGAAAAAGGAGTAATGGCAAACAAAAAAAAAGAGGTATAAAAAAGGCAAAAGAAGATCTTAAGAAAAATATCAGTAATCCATATGATGAAGGTCAGAATGTAAAATCAGCTTTGACATTCAGATCTCACCTCTGTCAATCATAGAGGGGGCGTGGGCAAATAACTAAATGATAAGCAATACTGATTTAATTTCAATATGCAGCATCAATCAGAAAAACAAGAAAGAAATGCACTGAACGTCTACCAGCTATTTCAAAGTAGTTTCAGAGCTGATTAGATATTCCTTTTGTGTTCTCATTGACAGGAAGATGTAAAAGCTACTTGCTTGCACTGAAGTCACCATACTCCTTAGAACTCTCATGAACATTTCATAATAGTCTTAGTTACTCTCTGCTTTAGAACAAGCCACTTTTGTGCAATTTTTCAGATTATTTCTTAAGCGGACAATAAAATTCACAATACTGAATTGTTAGAATCATAGGAAAAAGCCAACTGCTGACATAATATATACAACTTGTATTAGCTATTTTCTTGAGTATATAGATTCTCATTCTAGAGTTCTAAATGGTCAGCAAGTACTCATTTCTTCATCATCTCAACTAAAATAGAAGAACTTGAAAACTTTGCTACAAATGAAACTGTAAATGAAGTTTTAAACCAGTTCTATAAAGCAGAACAATTAAAACATACAGAGAATGTTAAAATATTGAAGGAATAAAATATAAACCATAATTCCTCACAACACAGTCCTGCATTCATTTTTCACTGAGACTACCTGAATCTTAATTCCTACTTATCCTTCTATGGTGGCTATCAATGGGGAATGTATTAAGAATCTGAGGTTCCTCTGTGGTTCACAGGCTGGGGGGAGAAATTTTTCATCCCCTTCAGTAGGGAGTCTTGCACCCTCAATCACAGTGTAGGCCAAAGCACATATCATAAGAAAGTCAAGTTATTGGATCAAAAGAAAAAAGCCAATTAGACTCCATAGATAATAAGTAAGCTAAACAGTATTTAGCTGTCCACAGGACAGATAAATTTTAAGATCTATTCTCTCAGATCAGTATAAGATGTCAGAGGTCTCAGCCCTTTTTGCACATAGTTCACGCACAACAATCTAAACTGGAAATGCCATATTCCTTCATGGCACTGCTAATGCATCCCTTTTCTCTCTCAAATATCACAGTGAGGGCAGAGAAGTCCAGCCTGTATTGTTAACTTCTGTTCTTGCACATCTCTACAAAAGATTCACATCTTGTCACCTTTCACATCGAAAGCTTATTTCTTCATAAAATGGTAAGTTATGTTCATGGTACCTTTGAGAGTAGAAAGGAAAACACCTCTGAAAAAGCACAAGAGACCGGCCGGGCCAGCATATTTCTATTAGTTCACCATGACAAATTTACTGTTAGACAAGTTACATTTCAGACCTCGGGTCAAGAAAATGAGTTAATTTTTTAATGGATATTGCCTGTTCCCACAGTCAAAGAACATCTAAATATGTAACAAAAACATTGGGGAAAAAATTTCCATCATACAGAGCATTAATTTCATGTCTTCTATGAAAATAACCTTTCTGGAAGGTTCTCCTAATGAAGATCCAACTTGTACTTGAAACTCTGGGCCACACAGCAACAAAACATGACAAAACAAGACAATACCAGCTATGAAATTTAGTCTTTTGTTTGTTTTTTAAAGTATGATCAAAAAGGAAGCACTGAGACAAGAATTTTTCCTAGGGAATTTCTATATGAAGTTACTTGAAGACTAGCTGTAATTTTAAGAATGAAGTCTGAACAGCTACTATTACACCAAATAACTCAAGGGAATGCACATAGGATAGACAAAGCAAAAATATATGGGCAGTAATTAGAGATGGAAACAAGAGATACAATAAACATGACTGTATGCACATCTGTTCCAGCAGGAATAACAGCACTTTCTCAGTGCCTTAAACAGCAGATGGTGTGGGACTGCAAGGATTCCCTCAAATATTCAAGTTCTAGCCAGCTCTGTTTATAGTCCAAAAAGCTTTTACCTAATTTGCCTTTCAGCTTCTTGAAAGCAACAGGCAGCAAAAAGTCCCTCAAAAAAATACTCAGGTTTCCAGCTTGATCCCAGTTCTCCAACCATTTAGACTACTGGCAGAGTATATAGCCTGTTGTATACTGACATCTGGAAAACATGATAGGGACTTTTTATTTTCATATTTCTTCTTCGTTGGCTTCCATTTACACTTGGTACAAAATTCATTAATAAATGATTCTGTACTAAAGTTTGGTGATGAATCATCAAAATAATGGCTATACTACTCTCCATTATTTTCACCACAAACTTTTGTTTCTCATATTTTGTTTCTTCTTCACTTCAAAATTTTCTTCTTTTCAGTCATTCTGATTCAGTCACTCCGTGAATTACCGAGTTTTCCATTTACTGAGCAACATCTATCATCTTTTACAGCCAGAATTCCCATTGTTCACAATGCAGACATGCTGTTACTTGAGTTGCTATGCCCTGATTCCCGTGGATCATGGTGAAAGTACAGAAGCAAAGCAATAATGATATGAAGAATTTGCGTAATCATGTTATTGCAGCAATACTATCTGTCTCTCCTAAACTGTGCTGCAAACTTTTGTCTCAGTAGTGCTTTTTATGCCTTCCTGTTTCCACATAAAATTGGTTCATGTTATTCAAAATCTGTTTCAAAGCAGAAATCAGCCTAAAACAATAACTCGCTGGGGGCAATCTGTCAGGCTATTTCTGCTCATCTTTAATAGATTTGGTTCTGGACATTGCTTGAAAAAGAATGCTACAGCACATACGGCATTACATTTAACCAGGTAGACATTCTTGTATCTGTAGTAAAAACACAGATTACAGCATATTAACAGGCTTGTGAGACAGAAGGAAGATTTAGAACCCCATCAAGTCTCATGAGAACAAGAATTCCTCCTCCTCTGGTTTCATTGCAAAAATAGAAGAGTTTGCAGCAAGTCCTCATTATCTTCTATTTATCCCTTATGACATTGAAGTCTGTGTTTTTTGTGCTCTGAGTTCTCACTTCCTACTACACAGATTTTAACTTATAGAAATACAGAAACCTAGGAAAGCACTTGAAAGAACAGTATCAGGCAGTGATGGATCAACACTGCACTTTTAATGATAGCAGAGAATCTGTCTTACAAAGACAAATTTCTAGAAGGATGAACAATTTTAGGAATAACAGCAACAAAAGACAAAGATCCATGACCCTGTATCTTGTTGAGACTATACAGTAGGACTGAGGGGCAAAACAAATCTATGTAGTTGTTTATTCTACTGCAAATTTTTTTTTTGTCTTGTCCTGTTGCATAATAGATAGAACTTTAATAGAAGTAGATGTATTGTCCCATACATTAATATATTAGACAATATAGAGATCCTTAGAAAATACCTCAGTACAACTTCAAAATCCATGAATGGCCACACCTACATGATACAGATGACGACACTGCAATGAAAATGAACAGAACAACGTGAACAGGATAAAAAATGTTTGTGGGAATTGCTTAATGATCACTTTACCATTTAGATATTTAGCAACAGAAAGGAAATTCCTTCTAGAATGATAGCTGGTCAAAAAGTCAACATTTACTGGAATTACTCTACACTGAAAGACTAACAGGAAATACCTGCATGTCCATAATGGCATACTTGTCTTTCAGGCTTATCCTGCGGCTTATGTCATAGCATAGTGATTTTTCAAAGGCTCACAGCATATTATGGATTGAATAAAGAAAATTGTACGTGACAAGTCCCTTTAGAGTACTTAGTAAGTCTAATTTTTACTTTCTTTTTTCCCTAAGAACATTTGGTAATATGTAGAGGTTCATCTTTCACTTCTTACTTTAGAAGAAAAAGATACTACTTCTCCTTAATGGTCTTGCATCCTTGAAATCACAGCAGTTTCCCATGAAAATTATTACATGAATCCAGCAGCCTAACAGATACATAACTCCTAACCACCTTAAGCACATCCACTTGTGAAGCTATCCTAAACTCCTGCTGAGAAATGCAGGGCCCCTATTAATTTTTTTTACATCCACACATCATAGTCTAATCTTTAGAAGGTTTTCTTGCATAAATTTAATGTATGTCAGGCAGATATCTCAAAAAACAGGTGAGGAAAACTGGATGACATCAAAAATTTCTTGCCCAAACAATATTATTGTGGCATTTCAGTGAAACTTATGAACAAGCTAATTAAACAGGTTGGTCTGACTTCTAAATATATGTGCTAGTTTTGGAAATAAAAGAAGATTCCCTCTTTATTAAAGCACTAAAAAGCAATGCCCATAAGGAATCTAAAGCATGTTGCAGAGCCAGTAATACAGAACCTGTGCGTCAATCAACACCTGGGGATACTGTATTATTGAAAGAATAGTTTATTTAACTTAAAACAGTCAGTAATCCCATATGTAAAAAGATTTCATTCCTCATCACTTCAAAAGTTAGGGTAAGTTAACAGTACCTCTGTTCTTGTCCCCCTGATACAGAGAAAATGAACACAACGCCAGACTCTCACAAACAGGTATTTTCAAGTTTGCATAGCTTCTTCTTTCAAAACCAATTGCTTCAAACAAGGCAGAGTGCAGATTACTCATGCCTCCTACTGAGCCTGATGTTTTAAAAGAGGCTTTTAGACTTATGTAATACACACACCCATTTTCTGAATAGCAGAAAATGCTCTTCTCTTCACATTCTTATGCTGTAAGTTGTGGATCTAGCTGGGTGTTTGTAATGGAACTTTCCCAAACAAATTTGAGTTCAGATGTAGAGGGTTTAGAAATAAACATCTTAGAAACTGAGCATTTATATTACTAATCAGGCACTTCTGAGTACCCTCATACTGCACTAAATAACCAACCTGAATGCATAAAGCTTGACATGGCACACAGAACAAAATATTTTCCTGCAAGTACCACAGTCTACGAGAAAGGAGTTCAGTGGCATCAAAAAGGACTACCCAAAGTAATACATGCACAGACAGCCTTCAGAGTAAGACTGGATGTTTTATGGATGCTCCACTTCCATAAAATACCAACCAAAAATGGAAAGACCAAATGAGCCCCACATGCATGACAGTTTTTATTAAGTTAGACACCAGAAATTAAGTTAAAAGTTGGAGATCACACATACTTCTTAAAATTATTAAGTAAAAGTGAGTGTGTCCATTTAAAGTTTTATTTCGGATTTACCTCACTATCATGATGACACTATTCAGATACTTAAAGCAGCAATCACACACTGAGCATTCTGCATTCCATTTAGTTTCAATAGTTGATTAAGTTGTTTTCAGACTTTGGCTTTATGGCATCTACTTCAGTTTCTAATAGCCCATTTTGTGCAACCAATGGCTTTAGGTGAAGTCATTAAGTATGCCATTTAAATGAATAATGAATATATTGTTGCTATACTAGAGTTGTTAAAAAGCACTTTTTAAACAGACGTTCCAACTTACAATAGTCACACAAAAATCTCCATCTGCTGGCCTTCTTCAGTTACCTGACAGAAAGAACAAAGAATCATTCTGCTTCTTCAGTCATACAGTTCTGCTCTTTGTTCATTTTATCAGCCAGGTGTGCTATCTAGAAAAGCAAGAAACCTAAGTCTGAAACTACTTTGTTGGAATCTAAATGACCATCCTGTCACAGTTCAGTCATACAGAATGCAATCTGGATTGTATGAATTATTAACTGTGTACCTGTATTCAGTCAGTTAATGTTAAAATTGCTATTTTCATGCAATGAAGTCAGCATGACTGGAAGTACAGTTGTGCTGCACACTATGAACACAAAGCCACTAACATAAACATACAGTGAAATTATGCTTAATAGCCAACTTTGAATCATGCCCACAACTCCATCAGCAAGGCAAAAACAAAGAGGAATGAAGGATGAGTTGACATCATCATCAACACAGCTGTAGTGAGACAGAACATCTGATTTGCAGGTTCCCCCAAGTAATTAACATGTATTCAGCTACTTTGTAAAGGCAAGGTATAGTAATTTGCAATAAAAACCTCAAGTATTATGCAAACAAGATTATTCAGTTTTATAAAAACACTGTACACACCTCTCTCATGAAGATTTCCAGCTTCTCTAGTTATGTTTGTTTTCTCCACCACTCTGCTATAAAACCAAAGTGACCATAGGTCAGCATTGTCTCACCTTAGGGGAACTAGTTTCAGATAAAAAGAGTAATGCACTTGCTCAGTAATTACCATACCACAAAAACATAAGGGAAAAATGATAAAGCCTCCAGGCAGAATCTAAGCAATGCACGGATGAGGCAGCTATGCAAAAATCCATTCTCTGACTGGATAAACTCTGCAGAAATTGTACCTTGGACACAGAAAATCCACATCTGTACCCATATCTAAGATTCACAATCTTTCCCAAGCAACTTTTTAAGCCCCATGTTTGGGGATTTCAGTTACACTTATACTATATACAGCCATGCACAGACTTTATGAGCATATAGATATATTTACCTCGTCTTTAAACAACTTCAAAAAAGCCAAAAAAAATATCCACATCTTTTCAAACTCCTGGGAAAACAAATCTAAAAAAAAAAAAACCCACCAACACAACAGCAGAACTCAAAACCTGCATCAACATGTCAGGTCCTGGAAGATAATCACTTATTTGCTTCCTTCACAGAGCCTGGTGGATGACGCTCATTATTTCTCTTTCAGCATCTGGGATAAATAAGGATTAGTAGGAGCTAAAATCATCCAAAACATGTTCAATGACTGCCCAGGAAGCATAGTTACATTCTAGACAATAAGAGGGTTTATTCAGGAAAAGATTTATGAATTGATGTCAAGGAATAACAAAATAATGTTATCCTACTAAAATAAACAGAAGTTGCACCTCAAGGATGCTCTTTAATTGGACAAGACTAATATCAGTGTCCTTCTGCTGATTTACAAGGTTTCAGGTTAAAAAAAATGAAGTAATATTTGTACCAAAATACTTTGGTGTACCACACAGTTCAGAGATTTTGATGCTGAATCTTCAGTTGCATAAGCCAGAACTGTCTATATGGCAACTGTCCAAACAGAGGCATTTCTCCATGATCTGGAAGAACAAGACATGCTTCTAGCTTAGCTCCCAGCCCCTTCTTCCCTCAAAGCAAAATCCAAGCACAAACACCATAATCTTTCCTCTTTCCTATCTGTAGTCATTCCTTTACTTGGCTGACAGATTATAGCCTGGCATGATGGAAGAGCTGTATCTTCTTAATTGACTTGGCAATGCAGAAGTACAGAAGCTGGGACTGCTTTGTCATCTAAATCATGCTGTTTAGGCAGAACCTCAATTGCTACTTTGAAACATCTGGCCCTATTAAAGCAGGACAGTGTCCTAACTCATCTGAATGGCAGAGAAAGGTTAATGTCACATGCCCCAAAGGCAAAAATCTGTTACATGCAGTACCCAGACTTTTCTTACCTATTACAGAAATTTTGACAGTTTGAGGGAAGTTTGTCAAGCTAGGCAAGAAATCAAGAAAGCAGGGGGATGGAGGGAGGGAAAAAAGGGTGCCAGGTCAGCACAAATATATGCACACATCATCCTCTGCCAGCATTGGCAGCGCAGGCACAACGCCTTGGGACTCAGGATTGAGGGCACATTTTCTTGGTTATTTCTAAGCTGCACATAAATGTGGTTTCTGCACATGAAAAATGGATGTCAGATTAAAACCACTGAAAATATCCAAGAAGAGGAATTGCAAGAAGAGGTGGAGCTTCCTGCACTCTTACTGAAAACTAGTCATGCCTATAATGGACAATATGAATCTTCAGCTATGGATTCAGTATAGTCTTCAGGATATCATTAAGCTTGCGCTTTATGTTTTTCAAACAATAGTATTTCAATAATTCACATCTTATTCACAATAGCAACAATGTGATCTGTTTAAGAGATAGAAATTAGAACAATTTATTGTATTAGTTAGCATCTTCCCTTTCTCTGAGATACTAATTCCAAGTAACCTGACAATTTAATTGAGCAGATCATTGATTTAATTACTTTCTTTTCATATGAGAAAAGCTGTTACTATTGGATGAAGCTGGAAATTAAGAGCAGGAAAAAAATACAGATAAACCCTAGGAAAAAAAAATAGCAGCAAAAAATATTTTATTCTCTCACACAGTTGTTGCGATTTACCACTTTTTCCCTGGTTAGTCTATATGGCACTGATACATCAACAGTACAGGTGGAGTAGCACTAGGAAGTTCTAACATTGCAGACTATAATATCCCATTAATTAATCTGTGTTCAGACTCAGATAAACTATTATTTCCTTTCGATGATCACCAAATTACTTTTCTTCCAATGATTAATTTTCAATAGATTTTGAAAATCTGATATGAGCTTAACCATTCCATTGAAATGATTTCTTACTCCGAGCCATCTGCTTAATGCAATCAAAAGATTAGTACCTTAACAAGATTATTTAAAATAATAGGATATGGATTGTTACATTTTTTCCCCAATTTAAAAGAGCATTCAACAATTTTTTTTAGTAGAAGCCTTTAGCTCTGAAAGCAAAGATATACTTATAAATGTAAACATTTGTAATTGAAGGGACAGGAAGCCTTTTTCTGGTTTTGTAACAGAACAATACAGTCACCAAATCCAAGATAGCAGGAGCAGCCCCTCAACAAATTCTCTTTTGTTCTTTGACACAAGCCTCCAATTTTTCTAAGGCTGAAAAATAATGCCAATGCATCCCTGTGCAGATACAACATTCTGGAAAGGCAAAACATTTTTAAAGACACTAAAATGTTTTAAAAGCAGAGCAGAATAACTCAATTGCTGTTTGTCAAGCTCAAAGAGCAATAGCACTTCAAAGGAGAGGGAAAAACATGACTAGATGAATAAGAACCAGCTCACTGAACACTTCATAGGAAAACATCAGGGTTTTTTTTTTGTTTGTGCTTTTTTTCTTTTAACTATTCATTACAAACTAGAGAGATGGCAGACACTCAAAGGATACAATCTTCTCATGTCATATTTTTGTGGCTTTTCCACAAAGGTGTCTAAAAGTATTCACGAAGGACAACTAGAAAGATCTAAACTGCTTTAACTCAAAGTAAGCAGGCTCTTCAGTTATCTGCTCATCTGCATTATTCACATGCAGTCATGGCCATGTATCATTTTACATACAACAAATAAATTACTTATTACTAATTTTGTTCCAAGCAGATTTTGTCCCTGTTTACAGGGAGAAACACAGCTCCAATTAGTTTTAGACAGCGGTTTTTAAATATTCAGTATTCATTCCTGTCCAAAAATAACCAATTCTTTTTTGGTTTGTTATTTGCAGGAATGATTATTAATGTAATTGGCAGGCTCCCGTGTATGTCACCCAAAGCAGGCTTACTGCCCTCTGGCTATTTTTAATCTGTCTTTGTGAATGAAAGATATCAAGTTAAAGATTTGTTTTTTCTGAAAAGGGTGAGGAAATAAAAAGCCATGTTAGCATTTGGGATTTCAGGTGGCATGCATAAGAACTGCCTGAGCTTCCTCATGCCAGTGACTGTGAGAGAAAGACAGACTAAAGCTGGATGCATCCAAAACAATGCTCTCACTTCTCCTATCTCCCACTTTCTCCTTCAACCAAACAACTGAAGTCTGATTTTCTTTCACTTTCATCATGCCCTCAGTGAGAGATCTTGACTATCCGTGCCTTTAAGATATCAGATGCAAGACATAGCACTCATTATTCCCACAACCTTACTGTTACTTTGCTTTTAGCTCAGACAGGTTATGTCTCTCATTAAAGGACATTTTCAAGAAATCCAACTTCAGACTCATTCCATCTTAAACATGCACAAATGCAAGAGCACAGGAAGCCTCACCAGACTATCTACACACTGGAAGATATAAAACAGCTAAGTGCTTTTCTCAACTGCTTTTACGACAATGTGAAAAGATATTCAACTATTAAGAAGCTAATAAGATTGTAAAACTCTCCCGAAGAGTCTGTATGCAGCATGGTGGTTCTGAAACACAAATACTTCGTGGTCCAAAACATAAGATTTCATTAACCACAAGGTGACATTGTACTGTCTATAATTGCTTGATCTGAGCAGAGTGCTTAGTGATGAGAACACTAGCAATCCCTCATAACTTGTCAGCAAGTTTAGGATGCTACAGATGAGTGCAGGTACATAACAAAAACCTTTCTGAAAAACTAGAACAGTGTTTGTTTTTTAACTAACATGCTTGATCACACAATAAGGACAATGGAAGAGAATATAGGCAGTAAAACACTTCTCACCTCTACTCCCTACAGCTGTGAAAGTAACTCTTGCTCAGTTGCTCTTAGTTTTAGTTCATATATTGCCACTTTAAAAAAAGCAACATATGGTAATAAGCTGCAGAAGGAACAGATCCAGAATTCCACATCCCCTTCACTGGAATACAAAGCAGAGAATGTGACACAGCAAAATTCTCCACTGGTTATTAACAACATATACAAAAGTCTTTATTAGTCTGAAATGAGAAATACACATAAGATCCAAGTCTGGCCTGATAGATGTGGTCTTGGACAAATCAATTAAAGCATTTAAACCGAAGAGGCAGATACCCTTTCAGATCACAGTAGGGTAAGCCAAAATTAAACTAGTAGGTGAATTTTCTCATTTGTACTAGTTAAATTGGTTGTCTTCATTAAGAGAGAAAACACCTGTACTTACTGCACAGTGCAAGTATGCAAATAGGCACTCATCTCATAACTCATGGCTGTACAGCTGTGTTGCCATAGTAGGGTTCCTTCCACAACATCTCCATTTGAAGAGGTGCTATCCAGATAATTTATCAGTTGTTTGTCTTCCAGGCTGCTTGTCTTGGCATATGTTATTATGCCCTTAGCTCTGTAAGACTGTTTCCATATGAGCCTGTTAATTATTTCAACTCCAGACTGCACAGAATCACTTTGTAGAGGGATTGATGAAGTAGAAGCAACTATTTTACTAACAGTAATTGAGATTATGGGACAAAAAGGGATCTCAAACCAAGTTCACCCTTTAGTGAACTCAGACACTGAATTGCTGAATTGCAGCCAAGTATGCTCTGTGATACTGTGAAAATCTAATTTCTATTTCAAAAGAACACTTTAAGTCTTTTTAAA